AGAGTAAACAGAGGTAATATTATGATTTATTATGACGTCTGACTCATTGTAGCGCTGTTCTCTCCCATTCTCTCTCTCTGTTATTTATTTATTCATTCTTACAGCGTCAGTTTCCTTAGTATTCAGGGAACTCTTTTTCTCTCAGTATTACCAATAAAGTTGTTAAACTAAAAAAAAATCTTCAAGTCTAACGCTTTCTCGCTATTATTCTTGGGGTTCAGTCTACTTTTCTCACTACCTACTGTAGGAGTTGGAAATTCGTCAATCCTTGAACCTAATTCGAGCTTTTTTTAATACATCCTGATTCAAGGGGAGATTGATCCAACGTTTAAGATAAAATCAAATGCATTCGCTTTTGAAATCGACCGATATGTAAATTTCCGAAATATTTTTTTTCTTTAAATTACCCCTTTTAATATTGAGATCTGAATAAAACAGACCTAAATTCTTTCCGGCAGTTTGTTTACTTTTCTCGGCTGCGCGCCCCCTTGGTTGACTACTCGTGAGTGAAAGGAAACAAGCTGGCATTACAAATGTCATCGATCTTTACAGTTATACAGTACTATTATTAGGTCCTCTGATCAGGTAGGAGTGTTTGTGTGTTGACGAATCGTTGTATCGATTAAAAATAAAGTTAGGAGTGGACAGTGAGTTTCCGTCAATATTAAATAAGAGCGAACGAATTAGAAAAAAAACCCAATGCCTTTATTTTTGCGAAGTCATATCAGAAGTTTGGATTAATTTTCGCTAATCTGAACAACAAATGTCACAGATTGCCAGAACTCTTTTTCTTGGTTAAGAATTCATGTCGTTTTGAATGTTCTTCTTCTGTTACAGTTCATGAAGATACAAATGTCTTCCTCCGAGAGTCCTCACTCTTGATGACATCTTGGGGCTTAGAGATTCAAGATGAAATTCCTAAGAGAGAGAGAGAGAGAGAGCGCTTGTGAATGTGGCACTCTCTCATGGACGGAACCTTAATGAGCGTAGCAGACCAAAAATGTCCGTCCCAGTCCTACTCGCCCCTTGCTCCCTTACCTAACCCCCGCCCCTCTTCTACTCCTTCTTCTCGACTGTCTTTCTCCATTCCTTCCTCTATTTTATGTAGTTTCAGTACACATGTGTCATTTCTAGGTGAAATCTTCAGCCCTTCTATATCTCAGTTATTCCCTTAGTTTTCTTTCTCCTGTTGTCGAGGTTCATCTATGATTCCTCTTGGTTTGCTCAACTTTATCCATCACTGCTAGGGACGATCACTGTGCGCAAGTTGCTAGGGACGATCTCGACCACATAAAACATAGTTAATACATCGATCTACGGTTACTATGATGGTAGTCATATTACCAGATAGCCAGACTCTGGATGCTGAAAAATTCGTACGATATAATTTTCACTTAATTCGGGCTTAGATGATGCATGGAGTTACGATATTATCTCCGTATAGCTCTTACGTCATTATTTATTATCTTACTTAAATAATAGTAAATACACATACAAATTACACATGAACCACAGTTGGTTACAATATAGGCAACTAGATTGTGTCGTGGTTGAAGTAGTCCAGTTGGAAGTGTTCCTTTAAATCTAAAATTATGCTCTAACTGGTGTTAAGTGAAAGTATATAGTTAAGGTAGTCTCGGTATAAGTTTACGTTAATTTGGGATGAGGCTTTTGTGTTTGGGCTAAAGTCATCCTTTTAGGTATATTCTTGTATCTTAAATTACCAGGATGTTTTTCGTATTAACTGTGCCCAAGCACAGTTGGGTTTCGTTTATACAGGTAATTATGACCTCAATAAAATCGAAATCGCTTTTGGGCTGTCATAACCGTATGTATTATAATTTTAATAATTCGAATCACAGTTTGCTGCGAGGCGTCGTTTAAGGCACAATAATCAATGTTCTGAGTTAATATGATATCCCGTAGGATTCGTAAATTAGAAGCGAATAGCAGGCTATTTTGCTTGGTCGCAAAGACAATTTTATATTTTATTTCCAAAGAAACTGTGTTACATTCGGTAACTTAAGCCTTCATATATAGTTCATTCCCAGTTGCTTTAAATTTACTGATTTCAAATTATTTAAATTAAATAATGTTGTATTTAACTCGTTGTCACAAAATAGCTTCTCGTATATGCATTTGATAAACAAATAATTTCTTCGGCACATGCCTCCGCTGGGAAAGTATTAATTTAACAGTGGTATAAACATTATAGAGGATATGTAAGCAGCAGCTTCACCAGGCACTGGTATAGCGCTCTCTGGGTATCGTGTGGGAGGGATAGGAGTGCCAGTCAAAAAAAAGTGGGGTGACGGTGCCTGGCCATGTCATCAGCCGCCCACGCTCCAGGCGCGGCGGCCAGGAAGTGCTGCCATCTGTTGCGCTGATTGGCAGCTGCTGGCTGAGCTGCGGATGTATCACGTGCAGATCTTAGTTTCTCCAGCCGCTAAATTCAGTTTTCTCATAGAAGTTCTATGAGAAAACTGAATTTAGCGGCTGGAGAAACTGATTTTGAAATCAGTTCTAAGAACTGTGACTTGATTGACAGCAGTAATTTCAATAATCATACTAATTATTTGGTGTTTCTAGATTGTTATTGGTAATAATGGTAGAGATAGGAAAAATTGAATGGACTTATGTTCAGTGTCCTTGTGTAATGTGTTTTACTACACCACAACAATGGCTCATCTTACTCGTAAGTGCACAAATCTACACTCGTGCAGTTTCCCAGGAACTGCTTGTTATATATTTAGCCTATCATTCTTGTGACTGTTTACGAAGAAGAGTGTGTGTACACTCCTGGTTCTGGCCAGGCGTTTGGGGAAGATGCTACTGTTCAACCCCCTCTTTTATAAGTTAATTAATTGCGCTTAAATAGCGGCAAACTCAGCAGAAGTCATGCGGTAAATCAGAACATAAGATGGCAACAGGAGAATTTTATTTAGTAAGCAAGCAAACTTTTTTTTTTACTTAGACTTTTTTTTGGCATAACTTATGGGACAAGAGCCTTTAATTAGCTCCCAACAAATTGTTGGTGGCATATCGGAAATGTATCCAAATCACTAGGTGTAAACTAATGGCAGCAGGTTCCTGACAGTACTGTCGGAGCAGGTACAGTCGAGGCAATAATGCCGAAGAGTAGAATTGAGACACTAACACAGTTTGCAGGGAGAGACATCTGTTTTAGGGTTGCCAGATAGGTCTGTGTCCCAGTTTAATGCGATATAAGACAATGTTATATCTGCGAACCACAAGTTCACGTCGACGATACTTACATAGGAAGGGAAACATTTATCGTAGTTCCGGATGAAAAGGCTACCAGGCCTTTCTTATCCAACACAACATAACTCGCATGTTTGTCTGATATGGCTCTTCATTTTGTTTGGTATAATTCCTTAAAATCATTATAGACGCCTGGTCAAGAAGCAATTTACTTAAGCTTCAGGTCCGAGATGATTAAATGTACCTCACATTACCCTCTGACCTCGCCCTATTCAACCCAGACTAGGATGTAAGAGGGTGCTCAATAAACTAGACAACGCGTTGCGTGGTTCAAATCTAAAAATCTGAATCTAGGGCGTCTTCTCATTCACGCCCCCACATTCATCTCATTCACCCCTTAACATTGTCCACTAAGACGTCGAGTTGCCAGGTGGGAACGTTTCCGTTCGGCAGACATCATCCTTCAAGCAAATAAAAATTAATTCGTTATTTCTTAATCAACCTGCTATAATAATTTTTTACTCAAATAGGAATAACAAGAAGCACAAAAATCGTCTTAGATATGTTTAAGTGGAACAAGTAAAACAATTTTCAAGAGTGGCAAACACAAGTTATCTTAAATACATTCTGGAGTATACATAATGGACATATTTTCTGCTAAGAATTAGTAAGTTACATTCGTATCCTCTCTTACAAAAAGTCTATTTTCTTTGTTATTACCTCAAAGTATAAATGTTTACGATGTAACTCTACAATACTAATACTAATTAAATCATAATTTTAAATAAATGTTTTCATAATATTTAAAACTATAAATATAAGTGCAAGTATAGCAGTTGTTTGTATATTTACTTGTGTCTATTGTTATTAAAACGGTTATCATATATTATAAACCTAAAGACTGCTCTTTTCTTTATGTACCGGCTTTGTTGCATGAATTATAATAAATATTTGTTGCTAAGAAATTGAGTTTGATATTGGTGGTAATTTCATTACGTCTGCATGATCTCCTCAGTCTTTTTTAATTTAAGATATGCCGTTTAAATGCACTTACCCTGCTGGTCTTTGTTGCATGATATTTTGTGTCTCAGACCTTCTTCACATATAAGCTTACAAATTATGAACGATCAGCTTTTACTGTTTACATCTCTACGTACAACTTCCCTACACTGTGCATGTCGCATCTCGCCTACAGAGGGCAAACAAATTAATTATTAAATTTCCATGGATAAAAATTTCTCAGTCGATAACATGATATTACTTCTTTTTTTTTTACTTGCTTTGATAGTAATAAATACATTGCTAAATATAATTAGAGAAGTGTTGTGTAATTTTCTAAGAATGTAATTTCCTGCATGGGAGCGGCGGCCTAAACCTTCCAATACTGTACTATCTGTATTCTGCGCGTGGGACAGCACTCACCATCCTCGAGAATACCACAGAAAACGGTATTACAGAGAACGGCAAAATGTACAGGGGACACGCGCACAATCTCGCGGATCATGGGGTCATTCCAGTCCACGTCCTTAGCAAAGACGCAAAAGGGAAAGTTGTATGGAGAGTCAAGCTTATACACAGACACAGAACAATAGCATGTCTTTTCTATTCATTAGAAGTAGTATTCGATAATATTTTGCATGATTGAAACCAATCATCCAAATTTTGTAGAAATAATTATTGCTCCATTAAACATTGGAGTGCAATACAGGAGAGACTGTCTGATTTATAGCGATGCTTGACCCCTCCTCCTACGCAACGTTCCCTTTTTCTCTTTGCAGCAGAATATGAAGACTATGGCTACGACTATAATGAGGAAATTGCCACCGAAGAGGGAAGCACGGAATGTGAGTTTGAGGGTGAGAGATACGCCGATGGGGAATCCTTCTCGCCTGATGACTGCGTCCGCTGCACCTGCGCTGGCGGCCAAGTCGCTTGCGAAGAAAAACCCTGTAACGAGAATTGTGCAGGCGTCCTGTGTCCCGAGATTGAGTGCGAGAACCAGTATATCCCCCTGGGGCAGTGCTGTCCTGTGTGCCCAGGTAGGTGCGGCCCGCTCGCCCCCTCCTCCCCTTCACCTACTTACCACTGCTCCTCCCAACTCTTGTTCCAACAGATTACGGTGGTGTATACGGCGAAGTTTATCCGGATGAAGTTTACAATTACGAGGATGGTTATGAAAACTATGATCCTGAAGGCACTTCACCTGACTCCTTCGCCACTGAGGCTCCTCCCTATGATCCCTATGCTGTCCCTGGGGCAACTTACGACTCCTTTGCAACAGAATCTCCTTATGAAACCTACGACCCCTATGATTACACCGAACCTCCTACCACTACCACTACCACTACCACAACTTCCACTACAACCACCCCTCCCCCTACTACAACCACCCCCACCACCACCACCACCACTCCTCGACCGCCGGCTCCAACAGTTTCTTATGAAAGGGAGTCATCAAGAGGGCGAAGACCTAGGCGTCGGAAGGGTGAACGCAGAGGAGTTGTTGAACGAGAACGGGAAGGTATGACAACCACCACTGTTCAGGGTTACACACACACACACACACACACACACACACACACACAAACACACAAACACACACACACACACACACACACACACAAACACACACACACACACACACACACACACACACACACACACACACACACACACAAATAAACAACAAATAAATACACACACAAAAACAAAAACAAAAACAAACAACACACACACACACACACACACACACACACACACACACACACACACACACACACACACACACCTACCCCCCACAAAACCAACTTCCACACATACATCTTCCATTTCCCTGATCCTAACAGAGTAAGCATTTAATTTATATTTATATTCCTTTGTGTTTCATACGATACTTCTGACCCTCCACACTACACCCTGAACCCTCCACACTACACCCTCAAACCCTCCACACTACACCCTAAACCCTCCACACTACACCCTAAACCTCCACACTACACCCTGAACCCTCCACACACTACACCCTGAACCTCCACACTACACCCTAAACCCCTCCACACTACACCCTGATCCCTCCACACTACACCCTGATCCCCCACACTACACCCCTAAACCCTCCACACTCACACCCCAACCCTCCACACTACACCCTGAACCCTCCACACTACACCCTGAACCCTCCACACTACACCCTGATCCCTCCACACAACACCCCAACCCTCCACACTACACCCCAAACCCTCCACACTACACCCTAAACCCCCACACTACACCCTAAACCCTCCACACTACACCCTGAACCCTCCACACTACACCCTAAACCCTCCACACTACATCCTGAACCCTCCACACCACCCCATCCCACCACACTACACCCTGATCCCTCCACACCACACCCCAAACCTCCACTACAACCCCTGAACCCTCCACACTACACCCCTGAACCCTCCACACTAAACCCACACTCACACCCCCTGATCCCTCCACACCACACCCTAAACCCTCCACACTCACACCCTGATCCCTCCACACTACACCCTGATCCCACCACACCACCCTTGATCCCCCTCCACACCACACACTGAACCCTCCACACTACACCCTGAACCCTCCACACTACACCCCTGAACCTCCACACTACACCCTGAACCCTCCACACTACACCCTGATCCCCCCACACTCACACCCTAAACCTACACTACACCCTGAACCCTCCACACCACACCCCATCCCACCACACTACACCCTGATCCCTCCACACCACACCCTAAACCCTCCACACTACACCCTGAACCTCCACACTCACCCTGAACCCACACTACACCCTAAACCCTCCACACTAACCCTGATCCCTCCACACTACACCCAAACCTCCACACTACACCCTGATCCTCCCACACTACACCCTGATCCCACCACACCCACCCTGATCCCTCCACACTACACCCTGACCCCCCACACCACACCCTGAACCCCCTCCACACTACACTGGTCCCTCCACACTACACCTGATCCTCCACACTACACCCTGATCCCTCCACACTCACCCCTGATCCTCTCCACACTACACCCTGATCTCCACACCACACCCTGAACCCTCCACACTACACCCTGATCCCCCCACACTACACCCTGAACCCTCCACACCACACCCTGATCCTCTCACACTACACCCTGATCCCTCCACACTACACCCTGATCCCTCCACACACTACACCCTTGATCCTCTCCACACTACACCCTGATCCCCCCACACTACACCCTGAACCCTCCACACTACACCCTGTCCCTCCACACGACACCCTGATCCCTCCACACTACACCCCTGATCCCTCCACACCACACCCTGATCCCTCCACACTACACCCCTGATCCTCCACACTACACCCTGAACCCTCCACACTACACCCTGAACCTCCCACACCACACCCTGAACCCTCCACACTACACCCTGATCCTCCACACTACACCCTGATCCTCCACACTACACCCTGATCCCTCCACACTACATCCTGATCCTCCACACTACACCCTGAACCCTCCACACTACACCCTGATCCCTTCATCCCACACCTTGATCTCGTCATCCCACACCTTGACCTCTTCATCCTACACACCTTGACCCTTTCATCTCTACACCTTGATCTCTTCTATCCTACACCTTGATTCTTTCATCCCACACCTTGATCTCTTCATCCTACACCTTGATCTCTTCATCCTACACCTTGATCTCTTCATCTTAAACCTTGATCTCTTCATCCTACACCTTGATCTCTTCATCCTACAACTTCATCTGTTCATCCTACACCTTGATCTCTCCATCTTAACCCTTGATCTCTTCATCCTACACCTTGATCTCTTCATCCTACACCTTGACCCCTTCATCCTACACCTTGATCCCTTCATCCTACACCTTGATCTCTTCATCCTACACCTTGATCCCTTCATCCTACACCTTGATCTCTTCATCCTACACCTTGACCCCTTCATCCTACACCTTGATCTCCTCATCCTACACCTTGATCCCTTCATCCTACACCTTGATCTCTTCATCCTACACCTTGATCTCTCCATCTTAACCCTTGACCTCTTCATCTTACACTTTGATCTCTTCATCCTACAATTTCATCTGTTCATCCTACACCTTGATCTCTCCATCTTAACCCTTGATCCCTTAATCCTACACCTTGATCTCTTCATCCTACACCTTGATCTCCTCATCCTACACCTTGACCCCTTCATCCTACACCTTTATCTCTTCATCCTACAACTTCATCTGTTCATCCTACACCTTGATCTCTTCATCCTACACCTTGATCCCTTCCATCCTACACACCTTGATCTCTTCTCATCCCACACCTTGATTCCTCCATCTTTAACCCTTGACCCTTCATCTTACACTTTTGATCTCTTCTCATCCCACACCCTTGATCTCTTCATCCTACACCTTGATCTCTTCATCCTACACCTTCATCTCTTCATCCTACACCTTGATCTCTTCATCCTACACCTTGATCTCTTCATCCTACACCTTGATCTCTCCATCTTACACCTTGATCTCTTCATCCTACACCTTGATCTATTCATCCTACACCTTGACCTCTTCATCCTACACCTTGACCTCTTCATCCTACACCTTGATCTCCTCATCCTACACCTTGATCTCTTCATCCTACACCTTGATCTCTCCATCTTAACCCTTGACCCTTCTCATCTTACACTTTGATCTCTTCTATCCTACACCTTGACCTTCATCCCACACCTTGATCTCTTCATCCTACACCTTGATCCTCTTATCCTACACACCTTGATTCCTCCATCTTTAACCCTTGATCTCTTCTACATCCTACACCTTGATCTCTTCATCCTACAACTTCATCTGTTCATCCACAATCTTGACCCTTCTTATCCTACACCTTGACCCCTTCATCCTACACCTTTATCTCTTCATCCTACAACTTCATCTGTTCATCCTACACCTTGACCTCTTCATCCTACACCTTGATCTCTTCATCCTACACCTTGATCCCTTCATCCTACACCTTGATCCCTTCATCCTACACCTTGATCCCTTCATCCTACACCTTGATCTCTTCATCCTACACCTTGATCTCTTCATCCTACACCTTGATCCCTTCATCCTACACCTTGACCTCTTCATCCTACACCTTGACCTCTTCATCCTACACCTTGATCTCTTCATCCTACACCTTGATCTCTTCATCTTAAACCTTAATCACTTCACCCTACACCTTGATCTCTTCATCTTAAACCTTGATCTCTTCATCCTACAATTTGATCTCTTCATCCTACACCTTGATCTCTTCATCTTAAACCTTGATCTCTTCATCCTACACCTTGATCTCTTTAACCTAAAGCTTAATCTCTTCATCCTACAATTTGATCTCTTCATCCTACACCTTGATCTCTTCATTCTGCACCTTGATCTCTTCATCTTAAACCTTAATCACTTCATCCTACACCTTGATCTCTTCATCCTATACCTTGATCTCTTCATCCTACACCTTGATCTCTTTAACCTAAAGCTTAATCTCTTCATCCTACAATTTGATCTCTTCATCCTACACCTTGATCTCTTCATTCTGCACCTTGATCTCTTCATCCTACACCTTGATCTCTTCATCTTAAACCTTAATCACTTCATCCTACACCTTGATCTCTTCATCCTACACCTTGATCTCTTCATCCTACACCTTGATCTCTTCATCTTACACCTTAATCACTTCATCCTACACCTTGATCTCTTCATCCTACACCTTGATCTCTTCATTCTGCACCTTGATCTCTTCATCCTACACCTTGATCCTCTTCATCCTACACCTTGATCTTTTAACCCAAAGCTTAATCTTTCATCCTACAATTTGATTCTTCATCCTACACCTTGATCTCTTCTATTCTGCACCTTGATCTCTTCATCTTAAACCTTAATCACTTCATCCTACACCTTGATCTTTCATCTCACATTGATTCTATCTACACTTGATCTTCATCCCACCTTGATCTTTCATCCTACACCTTGATCCTTCATCCTACACCTGACCTTCTATCCTACACCTTGATCTTCTACTCTACACCTTGATCTCTTCATTCTGCACCTGATCCTTCATCTTAAACCTTAATCACTTCATCCTACACCTTGATCTCTTCATCTTAAACCTAATCACTTCATCCTACACCTGATCTTCATCCCACACCTGATCTTCATCCTACACCTGATCTCTTCATCCTACACCTTGATCTTCATTTGCACCTTGATCTTCATCTTAAACCTTAATCACTTCATCCCACACCTTGATCTCTTCATCCTACACCTTGATCCCTTAACTGCTAACTTGACTCCTTCATCCTACACCTTGATCCTCTCATTCCACTACTAGATCTCTTCATCCTACACCATAATCCTTCATCCTACACCTTGATCTTTTCATTCTGCACCTTGATCTCTTCATCTTAAACTTGATCTCTTCATCCTACACCTTGATCTTTCATCCTACACCTTGATTCCTTTAACCTAAAGCTTAATCCCTTCATTCTACAATTTGATCTCTCATCCTACACCTTGATCTCTCATCCTACACCTTGATCCCTTTATCCTACACCTTGATCTTTTCATCCTACACTTTGATCTCTTCATCCCACCTCTGATCCTTTCGTCTTTAGCTTTGACCCTCTTCCTACACCTTGATCACTTCATCCCACACCTTGATCTTTCATCCTACACCTTGATCTCTTTTATCCACACCTTGATCCTTCCATCCTGCACTTTGATCCCTTCATCCTGCACTTTTGATCTTTATCCTACTTTGATCCCTTGATCCCATTCCTTGATCCCTTCATCCTACACCTGATCCCTTCATCCTGCACTTTGATCCTTCATCCTGCATCTTGATCTTCATCCTACACTTTGATCCCTTTGATCCTATTCCTTGATCCCCATCCTACACCTTTGACCTCTTCATCCTACACCTTGATCCCTTCATCCTACACCTGATCTCTTCATCCTACACCTTGATCCTTCATCCTACAATTTGATCCTTTCCATCCTACACCTTGATCTCTTCATCCTACACCTATCCCATCCTGCAATTTGATCCTTCATCCTACACCTTGATCCTTCATCCTCACACCTTGATCCTTCATCCTACAATTTGATCCTCTTCATCCACACCTTGATCTCTTCATCGTACACCTTGACCTTCATCCTACACCTTGATCCCTTCATCCTACAATCAATCACTTATCCTACACCTTGATCTTCATCACACCTTGATCTTTCATCCTACACCTTGATCCCTTCATCCTACACCATAATCCCTTCATCCTACACCCCCATCCTACACCTTGATCTCTTCATCGTACACCTTGATCTCTTCATCCTACACCTTGATCCCTTTCATCCTACACCATAATCACTTCATCCTACACCTTGATCTCTATCCTACACCTTGATCCCTTCATCCTACACCATAATCCTTCATCCTACACCTTGACCTCTTCATCCTACACCTTGATCCCTTCATCCTACACCATAACCCTTCATCCTACACCTTGATCTTCATCTTAAACCTTAATCACTTCATCCTACACCTTGATCTTTCATCCTACACCTTGATCTCTCATCCTACACCTTGATCTCTTCATCCTACACCTTGATCTCTTCATCCTACACCTTGATCCCATCCTACACTTTGTCTCTTAACCTAAAGCTTAATCTCTTCATCCTCCAATTGATCTCTTCATCCCACACCTTGATCTCTATCTTAAACCTTAATCACTTCATCCCACACCTTGATCTCTTCATCCCACACCTTGATCTTTCATCCCACACCTTGATCTTCATCCTACACCTTGATCTCTTCATTCTGCACCTTGATCTCTTCATCTTAAACTATAATCACTTCATCCTACACCTTGATCTTTCATCCTACACCTTGATCTCTTCATCCTACACCTTGATCTCTCATCCTACACCTTGATCCCTTCATCTCTGACCTTGTCTCTTTAACGTTTAATCTTCATCCTCCAATTTGATCCTTCATCCTACACCTTGATCTCTTCATTCGCACCTTGATCTTCATCCTACACCTTGATCTTTCATCCTACACCTTGATCTCTTCATTCTGCACTCTTATCTTCATCTTAAACCTTATTCACTTCATCCAAACCTTAATCACTTCCATCCTACACCTGATCTCTTCATCCCACACCTTGATCTCTTCATCTCACACCTTGATCCCTTCATCCTACACCTTGACCCTTCATCCTACACCTTGATCTCTTCATCCTACACCTGATCTCTCTCATTCTTGACCTTCCATCCTACACCTTGATCTTCATCCTACACTTGATTCATTTATCCTACACCTTGATCTCTTCATCTAAACCTTAATCACTTCATCCTACACCTTGATCTCTTTAACCTAAAGTTCAATCTTTTCATCCTACACCTGATCTCTTCATTCTGCACCTGATCTCTCATTTTAAACCTTGATCACTTCATCCTACACCTTTTGATCTTTAACCTAAGTTCAATCTTTCATCCTACACCTTGATCTCTATCTCTGCACCTTGATCTCTTCATCTTAAACCTGATCACTTCATCCTACACCTTGATCTCTTTAACCTAAAGTTCAATCTCTTCATCCTACACCTTGATCTCTTCATCCTACACCTTGATCTCTTCATCCTACACCTTGATCCCTTCATCCTACACCTTGATCTCTTCATCCTACACCTTGATCTCTTCATTCTGCACCTTGATCTCTTCATCTTAAACCTTAATCACTTCATCCTACACCTTGATTCTTTTAACCTAAAGTTCAATCTCTTCATCCTACACCTTGAGCTCTTCATTCTGCACCTTGATCTCTTCATCTTAAACCTTAATCACTTCATCCTACACCTTGATCTTTTAACCTAGTTCAATCCTTCATCCTACATCTTGATCTCTTCATTCTGCACCTTGATCTCTACCCAACCTAATCACTTCATCCTACACCTTGATCTCTATCCCACCTTGATCTTCATTCTGCACTCTGATCTTCATCTTAAACCTTAATCACTTCATCCTTAACCTTGATCTCTTCATCTCACACTTGATCTTTCATCCTACACCTTGATCCTCTATCCTACACCTTGATCTTTCATTCTGCACCTTGATCTTCATCATAAACCTAATCACTTCATCCTACACCTTGATCTCTTTAACCTAAAGTTCAATCTCTTCATCCTACACCTTGATCTTCATCCTACACCTTGATCTCTTCATCCTCAAACTTGATCTCTTCATCCTACCTTGATCTCTTCATCCTACACCTGATCTCTCTATCTGCACCTTGATCTTCTATCTTAAACCCAATCACTTCATCCTACCTTGATCTCATCTTTAAACCTTTAATCACTCTTCATCCTACACCTTGATCTCTTCATCCTATACCTTGATCTCTTCATCCTACACCTTGATCTCTATCCCCACACCTGATCTCTTCATCTTAAACTCTTTAACTACTTCATCCTACACCTTGATTCTCATCCTATACCTTGATCTTTTCATCTAAACTTAATCACTTCATCCTACACCTTGATCTCTTCATCCAACCTTGATCTCTTCATCTTAAACTTTAATCACTTCATCCTACACCTTGATCTCTATCCATACCTTGATCTTCTATCTTAACTTTAATTACTTCATCCACACCTTGATCTTCCATCCTATACCTGATCTTCATCTCTACACCTTGATCTCTTCATCTAACCTTAATCACTTCATCCCACACCTTGATCTTTCATCCTCACCTTGATCTCTATCTAAACCTTCATTATCCTACACCTTGATCCTTTAACCTAAAGTTCAATCTCTTCATCCTACACCTTGATCTCTATCCCACACCTTGATCTCTATTCTGCACCTTGACCTCTTCATCCTACACCTTGATCTTTCATCCTACACCTTGATCCCCATCCTACCACCTTGACCTCTTCATCCTACACCTTGATCTCTTCATCCTACACCTTGATCTTCATCCTACACCTTGATCTCTTCATCCTACACCTTGATCTTCATCTTAAACCTTAATCACTTCATCCCTACCTTGATCTTTTAACCCAGTTCAATTCTCATCCTACACCTGATCTCTTCATCCTACACCTTGATTCTCTTATTGTGCACCTTGACCTCTTCATCCTACACCTTTGATCTTTCATCCTACACCTGATCTATTCATCCTACACCTTGATCTCTTCATCTTTAAACCTTAATCACTTCATCCACACCTTGATCTCTTCACCTGCACCCTGATCCTTCATCTAAACCTTAATCACTTCATCCTACACCTTGATCTCTTCATCTATACCTTGATCTCTTCATCCTACACTGATTTCTTCATCCTACACCTTGATCTCTTCATCCTACACCTTGATTCTTCATTCTGCACCTTGATCTTTCATCAACCTTAATCACTTCATCCCACACCTGATCTCTTTTAACCTAAAGTTCAATCTCTTCATCCCACACCTTGATCTCTTCATCCTACACCTTGATCTCTTCATCTCTACACCTTTGATCCCTTCATCCCACACCTTGATCCTTCATCTACACCTTGATCTCTTCATTCTGCACCTTGATCTTCATCTTAAACCTTATCACTTCATCCACACCTGATCTTTAACTTCAATCTTCATCCTACACCTTGATCTTCATTCTGCACCTTGGATTCTTCATCTTAAACCTTAATCACTTCATCCTACACCTTGATCTTCATCCTACACCTTGATTCTTCATTCTGCACCTTGATCTCTTCATCCTACACCTGATCTTTTAACCTAAAGTTCAATTCCTTCATCCTACACCTGATTCTCTATTCTGCACCTTGATCTCTTCATCTTAAACCTTAATCACTTCATCCTACACCTTGATCTCTTCATCCTACACCTTGATCTCTTCATCCTACACCTTGATCTCTTCATCTTAAACTTTAATCACTTCATCCTACACCTTGATCTCTTCATCCTACACCTTGATCTCTTCATCTTAAACTTTAATCACTTCATCCTACACCTTGATCTCTTCATCCTACACCTTGATCTCTTCATCTTAAACTTTAATCACTTCATCCTACACCTTGATCTCTTCATCCTATACCTTGATTCTTCCACCTTGATCTTTCATCACACCTTGATCTCTTCATCCTACACCTTGATCTTCATCCTACACCTTGATCTCTTCATCTTAAACCTTAACTTTCATCTACACCTTGATCTTCTTCACTGCCACCTTGATCCCTTCATCCTACACCTTGATTCTTCTTTCATCTTGCACCTTGATCTCTTCATCCACACCTTGATTCTCTATCCTACACCTTGATCCTTTCATCAGAACACCTTTGATCCTCTATCCTACACCTTTGATCCCTTCATCCTACACCTTGATCTCTTCATCCTGCACCTTGGATTCTTTCATCCTGCACCTTTGATCCCTTCTATCCTACACCTTGATCTTCATCCATTAACCTTGATCCTTCATCCTACACATTTGATCACATCCACACCTTGATCTCCATCCACACCTTGATTCATCCTACACCTTGATCCTGTTCAACGGAGCACCTAGCTTTCGTCTTTATTCAGACATCTTCAGAGGAATCTACATGGAGAGAGAGGCTTATATACAGGGACTTATTAAACATGAGGTCAGGTCATAATGATGTCAACCACTAATCCCCACACCAACACACACGTAAGGAGCTTTGGTAGAAAGGGACGTGACTTGTCAGGTCAGGTAGGTCAAAAATAAGGACCCACTAAATAACTATATTACATCCAGCTCCAATTTTCAAAGCATTTTAACCTTGGGCACTGACAAATAAATTTATGTAACATAATATCAGTTTTGAACTGACCATCACTAAGGTTTATTGAATTTTATTCCTTAATCAAACTATCTTCAACCAGAAGTCTTTCTGTGACACAAGATGATTTGAATACTTCTAAGCTTTTTTCCCAAGCAATGGGATGATTAATATTCCTAACATGAACGAACAGGGCACTGCTTTCATTATGACCTGACCTCATGTTTAATAAGGTCACTCTGTATATTGCTCTCTGTCCACGTAAACCAGTTGCCTCTGAAGATGTCTTGAATAAAGACGAAAGCTAAGGTACCTCCTTGTTTCCTTTCCCGTGTGATTTATCAAGATTTATCTCCATGTTTCATATATATATATATATATATATATATATATATATATATATATATATATATATATATATATATATATATATATATATATATATATATATATATATATATATATATATATACATACATACACACACACACACACACACAAACGATGACAGAGATTTTAGGTGAAGTAAATTCCTGGAGGCCAAAATTGATATTTTGATTTTTTCCCCCAAAGAACTCTTCAGTCATATTACTAAAAGAATCAATATAGTATTGTTCATCATAATGTAGACAACAGATTAATACTTGACCATGAAACCTTGTTTCCACAAGGACTGGAAGTCCTCATTATTGGTTGTTTCTGCTGCGTCTTAATTTGGTAAGAATATATGTAAGAAATATAATAATCCATGAAAGAACTACCTTAATGTTGAATATGGGCACAGTAATATTTCAAGCTAAGTTACCTGCCCTGTTGAAATAATATTTTTTCTACTAGAAAGCTTTACTGCTATTATATGACGAAAATATTTAACATATATAATGGTTACATATTTAATATTCCTGCTATGACGGGGAATAGGCTTTATTGATGTAAGGAATGTAATAATGAAATTAGAATGCATATAATTTAATCCTTTTTCTCGCACCTACTGTAAGTACAGCTAAACTATGCATCAAAATACAGGTAGCAAAGAATATATATATATATATATATATATATATATATATATATATATATATATATATATATATATATATATATATATATATATATATATATATATATATATATATATATATATATATATATATATATATATATATATATATATATATATATATATATATATATATATATATATATATATATACCTGTATATAAAATTTAGTTATTCCTAAAAGTACTGAAAAAATTTCCGTTTTCCCGTTTACAGAGGAACCTCCCCCGGATCTTGTTGGACCAGTAAGTTATTTCTTTTTAATGCTTTAATATTAAATACTGAAGGAGAATAAAATTTATATATCCAGAACTAGTCTGAAATACCAGTGAGTCTTAGATATCAATTTGTTCAGTTCTCTCTTAGTTTCTACAGCACTCATTAAGTGATGGACCTCCCACTCTTAGGCCCCTGTACTTTCATTTCACACCACATCACTAATACCCACCTTTTTACCCGTTTGCTCCCCCATCAGTTCCCACCAAGTCACTACCTTCTTTCAAGTCACTATTTCCCTCCAAATAACTACTTCCCTCCAATTCACTACTTCCCTTCAAGCCACTACTTCCCTTCAAGTCAACGGTTTCCTTCAGGCTGCATTGCTTCACCTCCCTTCCACCACAATGGAGCACTAACTGTTTCCGTCTCCCCCAGACCCCTCCTGAGACCGGTTACGGCGCCTCCACTACCGGTGCAGATGGCCCCTCTGGACCCCCAGGAGACCGAGGTCCCATTGGTACCCCAGGTACACCCGGTACCCCGGGTCAACCTGGACCACCAGGACAGATGCCAGACGTGAGTGTATAGCTGGGTGCAGCTGGGTTGATACACTGTGCAGCATGATATGTCTCAGTTGTGTTCTGACCTCACTAGGGGAAAGGTCACGGCAGGGTTAGCTCCAGAGGGATAATTATCAGATATGGCCAGTGATATGTGCGGTCTTGGGTATGAGAGTTTGTTGACCAAACTGGAGTGGTCCACTGAAGAATTGGCGAGGGCCAAGCTAGAAATTGAGAGGGCCACGTTGGAGAACCTGAAATTAAGGAAAGAGCTGGCGAAGTTAAAAGGAGAGGCTGGACGAGTAAAGCCAGTGTCTGACGAAAAATCAAGCGAGTGGAAAATTGTGAGTAGTGGGAGGACCAAGCTGGTGGTGAAGAAGCACACGAAGGATACGACAACAACAGCTAAGTGTACCAACCCGTTCAGTCCCTTGATAGACGAATTGGACGTTAGTACAGTCAGGGGCAGGGATGACAAGGAAGGTATAAAAACTTTAATTGTTGGTGACTCACAGGTAAGGTACATGGACAGGGCCTTTTGTGGTAAAAACAAAAATTGGATGAGGGTGTGTTTGCCAGGAGCTGGGGTGGGGGATATAATTGACAGGATGGACAATATCTTGTCTAGTAATGGGAACAAACCCATTTTCTGCCTCAGTGCAGGAGGCAATGATATTGGCCGGTGTAGGAGCGAGGAACTTCTTGATAAGTTCAAGGCAGCCATAGATCGTATTAGGACTAAGGGAGGGATCCCTATCATATGCGGTGTCCTGCCTAGAAGGGGAGTTGGCAGTGAATGGTTGTCAAGGGCAGTTGGTGTTAACGACCGTCTTGACAGATATTGCAAGTCAATATCAGTCCCATTCATTGACAATTGGGACAACTTCTATGGCAGAAGGGACCTTTATGCTAGGGATGGGGTGCACCTGTCTAGGGATGGAGTAGCAACCCTGGCTGGGGCTCTCGAGGGGGCAGTTCAAAAGATATCGAAGTCTTTAAACTGCTATGAGAACATATGGGCACGGGGGTGGAGGAGACTTCTTTTGGTGGGGCGAATGAAACAAAAGTACGAAGATTAGGAAGTAGTGTTAGGAATGATGACAAACTAAATTAGACAGGAGTTTAAAACTAAGCGGTAAAGGAAGGATCAGAACACGACTAGCAAATGTATACTCTTGAACAGTAAGTATGGCTCCTAGTAAGATGATAATAAAGGCCTTGGTATGCTTGAAGAAATCGATATAGTGCATTCACTGAAACATGGATCAACCTAGACACACGTGAATTACCAGTCGAATACCAAATTGCGGGTTACAAACTGTTCCATACCGATAGGCAGACCAGGAAAGGAGGCGGAGTAGCAATCTATATTAGGGATAATCTGAAGTGTGAAATAAATAAGGAAATAAAAACTGAGAGGAATACGGTCGGGAAAAATTAATCACGGGTAATATATAGACCCCCAATCTTGATAGCGTCAATGAGCGACTTATCTGGGATGAAATGCGCAGGGCTTCCATACACAACAAAGTCTGTATAGTAGGCGACTTTAACTTTGGCCAAATAGATTGGACTGTCCTTACGGGTAACTCAGAATCAGAGGATTTTCTCGAGACGATCCAGGACTGTTTCCTAAGTCAACATATAACCGAACCCACACGGGGTAATAATATACTGGATTTAGTTCTGACGAACAGAGAAAACCTCATTAGCAATGTCGAGGTAGGGAACGAACTTGCAAACAGCGGTCACAAAGAAATTCGATTCCAGATAGATTTTCAGGGCAGACGTAAGGAAAATTCCACTAAAGTACCAGATTTCAGAAGGGCAAACTTTGACAGTTTAAAGAGGCAGCTGAGAGAGGGGTGTAATACGGCTTGGCAAGTGAACCTACTGACAGATGACAGGTTTGATAACTTGTGAGATCTGAGATTGCGGGGATTCACGACAATTTAAATAGTGAGTTACTTAATGCACAAAGGCAGAACATACCATACAAAAACTCAGATCAGACAACAATGACCCTAAATGGATAAATAATTATTTAAAGAACATCATTGGCCAAAGGAAGGCTATAGGTAGAAGGATAAATCGTGGCGAAATTCACCTCCGGGACTATTATAGGGTATTGGCGAGTAGGGTTAAAACCAAGATAAGGAAAGCAAAGAGGAATAATGAGGTAGGGTACTTAAGGAAGGTGAGGCCAAACTAAAGGATTCTACCGGAAATGTATCAAACTAAAACACGAAGAAAGATTGGACCAATACGGTCGAACTCGGCTGACTAACTGATAACAGCAGGAGAAATAGGCAATAATTTGAATAAATATTTTTCAACAGTTTTCACCACCGAAAATTTAAACGCATGATACCCGAGGCACCGACTCTATTCAGAGATAGTGAAGAAAACAAATTAAGTGAGATAGTAGTGACTAGTAACGATGTTATTAAGCAAATAGACAAACTAAAGCCTAATAAGTCACCTGGTCCCGATGAGATATTTGCCAGAGTATTAAAGGAATGTAAGGAAGAGCTTAGTATGCCCTTAGCAAAGTTGTTTAACATGTCCTTAAAAACAGGTGTAGTACCACAATCCTGGAGGATAGCGAATGTAATACCGATTTTCAAGAAGGGGGATAGATCACTATCCTCTAACTACTGCCCAATCAGTCTAACATCAATAGTAGGCAAATTACTGGAAGCAATCATTTCAAACTCTATTCGAAATCACCTGGAGAAGCACCGATTGATCAATGATTCCCAGCATGGCTTCACAAGCGGACATTCTTGCCTAACTAATCTATTAACATTCTTTTCATCAGTTTTCGAATCGATGGACGAGGGGCACAATTATGATGTGGTTTATCTCGACTTTAGCAATGCCTTCGACAGAGTCCCCACGAAAGACTAATTAGAAAGGTAGAAGCTCATGGCATCAAAGGTGACATCCTTAAATGGATTAGGGCGTGGTTACAGGACAGGAAACAGCGAGTGAGCATTAACGGCACTAAGTCCCATTGGAGCAACGTCACAAGTGGAGTTCCCCAAGGCTCAGTACTTGGACAATTATTGTTTATTATATACATAAACGACATAGATATCGGCATAGACAGCAACATAAGTAAATTTGCTGATGATACTAAAATAGGACGTGTTATCAAATCTGACGAGGACTCGGCAAAACTACAGGAAGATCTAAACAAATTTTCCAATGGTCTGAAAAATGGCAGATGAAATTCAATGTCGACAAATGTAAAGTACTCAGTATAGGAGATGTAAACAGGGAAACCAGATACCAGATGAACAACGATGCCATAGAGAAATCCGACTGCGAGAGAGATTTAGGAGTAATGATAAGTAGGAACCTTAAGCCAAGTAAACAATGTGTTTTTGCTCGTAACAAGGCTAATAAAGTACTTGGGTTCATACAAGGAGGTGTTAGTTACAAGACTAGATGAGGTCATCCTAAAACTGTATCTTGCTCTTGTGAGAACACCTGGATTCGCAGTTCAGTTCTGGTCACCGTACTACAGAATGGATATAGAATCCTTGGAAAGAATTCAGAGGAGAATGACAAGACTAATCCCGGGCATTAGGAACCTTGAGTATAGAGACAGGTTAAAAGCATCTTAATTTACACTCCTCAGAGACGTAGAGCGAGGGGCGACCTGATAGAGGTGTATAAGTGGAAGGCAGGGCTAAACAAAGGGGACATTACAAAAGGTAGTCAAATTATCAACCAGGGCGAACTGTAACAATGGTTTTAAATTAGACAAATTTAGATTTAGGCGTGAAATAGGTAAACACTGGTTTGGAAACAGAGTAGTGGATGAATGGAACAAGTTACCAAATATCATCATTAACTCGAATACGCTAAATTGCTTCAAACATAGGTTGGATGCTCATATGAGCAATAGGGGTTGGGTGTAAACGGGACTGCCCAGTATGGGCCAATAGGCCCGCTGCAGTTTCCTCCATTCTTATGTTCTTATGTTCTTATAACGTCAAGAATACAAAGTTTTGGTGGCACATTGAACATTAATTGAACATTGCGGCTACTTAAGAATGTTAACTTTTGACGACACATCAAAGTAAATGTATGAATACTTGGGGTGAAAACTAGCCTTCTGTTGAGACAATTGTCACCACTTAAATATAAGTGGTATACAAGGGCTGTAATCTTAAGGGGCTTATTCAATAAATAAGTGATTAGAAAGTAATTGTTATTTGATTGGTGAGCAAAACGTGTTCAGGAAATATATTTTCATTATAAAATTATTTTATCTTTATACACAAGCTTTAGAATTTTGTATTTATGTTTGTATAGATCACGCCATGGCTGTCGCAGCTGTCACAGTCTCAAGGCGGAGAGAAAGGACCTCAGCCTGACCCTTTCAGTTACCTTCAATCACAAGTTGGTCCCGTCGGCCCCAGGGGCACCCCAGGTTAGTATGTTGCAACAAAGTAGATTTTTTTTACAACTTTTTTCTTCAGATGTTCAACATTATTGTGCCAAGTCACTTCTGAGAGACCGTAACTTCTTTTTTTCTAACGTTGTTGTGAAGGAGCGTATCTTTAAGCAATGTTATAAATTCGTTTTATTAAGATAGGTGAAACGGGAAACTGTCTCATCTCATCCCATGATTTCCCAGCCAGGGAAGGAGACAGTCCCTGGTGACCGTCGTATCGTATAATGACCGTTCTTTTTCCCGTTTCCTACAGGTGCTCCAGGTCCCCCCGGCCCCCAGGGTTTCCAGGGGATGCGAGGTGAACCTGGGGATGCAGGTCCTAGCGGTCCCTCAGGCCCTCCAGGACCACGTGGGATGCCCGGAATCCCTGGAAAAGATGTAAGTGAAATCCCTTTTCCAGGAATTTGGGTGACTATAGGTTTTTCTTTGTATATGAATGTAGTAGGTGTGAAAAGAAGTGAGTGAGAGAGAGAGAGAGAGAGAGAGAGAGTAAACTGTAGAGTTATGATGACGCTGGTATTACCTTCTAGGGTGAGAATGGAGACGACGGCGCGGCAGGTCCCCCAGGTTCTGTAGGCCCCCCTGGTCCACGCGGTCTTCCCGGTATGCCTGGTCTGCCTGGCGTAAAAGGTCACCGTGGCTTCCCCGGTCTGGACGGAGCTAAGGGAGAACAGGGACAGCTGGGTGACAAGGGCGCCTCTGGTCCAGGTGGTCCGCCTGGTCCCATCGGTCCTATGGTAAGTATCACTTACCCCGACGTGGTGGCGCTTACCTCACACTTTAACAGTAATTCACAAACACACACACACACACACACACACACACACACACACACACACACACACATATATATATATATATATATATATATATATATATATATATATATATATATATATATATATATATATATATATATATGTTATCAGTCTAAGAAATAGAGATATGTTTTCTGAATATGAAAGAACATTAATGTAGAGTAATATTGAAAAAGTACATAACTAATCACTAATTTGATTTAGTAATGGACAGAGACTGATTTTAGTATATACTTTTGTTTGTGTTGTAATCAGACGACCTAGTCTCTCATTCAAAATCTCATGATGTTGTGATCCATGACGTGGTGTTGTGCAGGGTTCGGCTGGTCCTCGGGGTGAACGCGGCCGGGAGGGTCCTCCAGGTCCTCCAGGTCTAAGAGGTATCGACGGCATCGGTGGTCCTCCTGGTCCCCCCGGGCCTCCCGGCAAGTCTGGCCCGCCTGGCTTCCCCGGAAGCGCTGGAGCTAAAGGTGACCAGGGTGTACAAGGATCCAAGGGCTCCCAAGGTCTTCAGGGTCCTCGAGGTAAGTACATCTCCCTCCACTTACACCGCCCAACTTGCAATAACTTACTGTCTGATAAACCGTTGATGAAAATTATCAGTGTACTTTACTTTACAGGTGAAATTGATTTTACACTAATTTTATAACAGGTGAGGCCGGAAAGCCCGGTTCTCCCGGTTCTTCTGGTTCCCAGGGGGCTCCTGGAAAGGATGGTTTGCCCGGAGAGAAGGGTGCACCTGGTTCCCAAGGAGACTCAGGGCCCCCAGGGTTCCCAGGCGCCCGAGGGCCCTCAGGGTTACCCGGCAGCCCCGGCATGCCAGGCAACAAGGGAGAAAGGGTATGTTAATAGTATTTGTTCTTGGAAATAAATGGTAGAATAAAAGGAGGTGCAGGAGCTCTCGACATCCATTAGAAAGATGGCAGTTCCGCTATGAGTGGTCCATATACATACAGTAGTGTGGGGTCACTATGGCCTTCTTGTTATAGCAGGTATAAAATACGAGTAAGTGAAAGAGAGCACCAATGTTTTCCTTCCTTCAGGGTCTAGCTGGAGCGCGTGGCTTTAAGGGAGAACTGGGAATGAAGGGAGAAGGTGGTACCCCTGGCCCTCGAGGGCTGCCAGGAGCCCCCGGATCCCCCGGCAAACGCGGCAAGAGAGGTATGCGAGGACCCCCAGGTGGAGTTGGCCCCCAGGGTGAACGTGGACCCACGGGAGGCCGTGGTCTTCCTGGTGCTGATGGACCCCCAGGACCTAAAGGCAAGTCTAACGTTTGCTTTATGTACTCGTAGTGATGATAAGCGGTTGTGTAAGTTTGATATAAGAACATTTTACAACCTGATAATTATTCCAAGTTCGCCAGTAAGGTACCCAAAAATATGTTGTACAGATTTCATAAAAGAAATTCCGATTTTGCAGGTCAAAGTGGCGACCCTGGCCCCTCTGGCACCACCGGCCAGAAGGGTCGTGAAGGTAACCCTGGTCCTCCCGGCCTTCCCGGCCGCCAGGGCCTGCGAGGACCCACCGGTCTCTCTGGTCCTTCAGGCAAAACTGGGCGTCCTGGTAGTCGTGGTCCTCCTGGTGCAGATGGCAAACCTGGCGACCAAGGACCTCAGGGCATCCAGGGTCTTCCTGGACCTATGGGACCTCCCGGACCAGTTGGACCATTAGTAAGACCGAAATTTGTGCTCTTTATTGTTCATAATTGAATTACATCTTTTGCCTTTATTTTCACTGTTGAGTTGCTTCTTTATTGAAAATGAATAGATGGCAGGGAAATACATTTTATTTAGCTTTTCTAAGAAAGTATATCTAGCACTTATAGTTTTATTAATTAACCTTAATGGCAAATGGGAGTTAGCCTGGTCAAATGACTGCAAGCTATAATTATGATAGCCCAAAATTCTGTAACAGCATCTATTAATACTCCTGTACTACCACCACACACACACACATGCATACACACTTTATATTGCTGTACTGTATGTAGTCCCTAAAATCCACCATACATGAAGGTCACATAAAGTGTGATTGATTTAACACAGGGAGAATCTGGCAAGGACGGCAACCCCGGCGAGACCGGTGCCACCGGCCCCCGAGGTGACCCAGGGAAGGACGGGGCTCAGGGGCCTCCAGGTGTGTCGGGACCTACAGGTTCTCCGGGTGAACGAGGTCCTCCAGGCTCCCCAGGAGCTCGAGGTTTCCAGGGTCTGCCTGGAGCCTCTGGCATTTCTGGTGCCAATGGAAAGGATGGAGAGTCTGGTCTGCAGGGCCCTCGAGGTCTGCCTGGTGGTGCTGGTCTCCGCGGTCAGCGAGGCTTCCCCGGAGAACGAGGAGCTCAAGGTCCCCCAGGAGAAACAGGAAAACGTGGAGAAGCGGGTCAACTTGGCTCCGATGGACCCTCTGGTCCTCCCGGTCCCGCAGGCCAAAAGGGTCATTCTGGCCCCTCTGGTCTTGTCGTGAGTATTGGTCCTTTTGGATATTGAAATAAATAAATAAATAAATACATAAATACATAAATACATATATATATATATATATATATATATATATATATATATATATATATATATATATATATATATATATATATATATATATATATATATATATATATATATATATATTTCCTTTGCACACAAATGGATAGTGATCATGTAATATACAATGAGCACTTAAATACATCATCACTGACTTGGTGTTGTGTACAGGGTCTTCCAGGTGGTCGAGGACCTCACGGTCTTCCTGGAGAGAAAGGTGAACGTGGATCTGTGGGACGAGTTGGCCCTGAGGGACCGCCAGGTCGCCAGGGTGACCAAGGCCCTCAGGGTATTATGGGCCCAGTGGGACCTCCAGGAGAACCTGCAGAAAAGGGAGACCCAGGTCCTCCAGGACCTCCTGGCGAGCCTGGTGCCAACGGTATGACGGGAGAGCGAGGCTCTCAGGGTGAACAAGGTCTTCAGGGCTTCCCTGGACCAATTGGACCCCCTGGCAACTCAGGACCTAAAGGACAGCGTGGTCTTCCCGGTCAAAAGGGAGCTCAAGGTAATCCTGGTTTAGTAGGACAGCCTGGAGAATCCGGACCTCAGGGTCTTGCTGGACTGACGGGTGCAAAAGGACAACGAGGTGAAGCTGGACAACGTGGAGAGATTGGTCTTATGGGTCCTCCCGGACGACCCGGCAACTCTGGCACACCTGTGAGTAATATTGCTAATGAAGTTACTGTGCACCTAACTCTTGTTACCGATGGTACTGTGCACCTAACTCTTGTTACTGATGGTACTGTGCACCTAACTTATGTTACTGATAATACTGTGCTCGTTGCTGATGGTACACTCACACATGGTAACCTCGTTATCAAGACCAAATTTACACCTCATTTACCCTACAGGGAACCCCAGGTGACCAAGGACCTCCTGGCGCAAGTGGCAACCCTGGGATCAAGGGAACCCCTGGTGACACCGGTCGCCCTGGCCTACCCGGACCAACTGGTCAGCCTGGCGCCCCTGGACCTGAAGGATCCAAGGGTGATGCTGGCCCCGAGGGTCGCCCCGGCTCTGTGGGACAACCTGGCCCTGTTGGACCATCAGGAGAGCGTGGTCTACCTGGCCTCCCTGGCCCACCTGGTCCTCCTGGTCTCCGAGGAAAACCTGGCGCTCGCGTGAGTAATACTCACTGTAATATTTTTACTGTATTGGAAGTGTATTCATAGAAAAGCTGGTGAACAGTATTTGGAATGAATATATTGTATTCTTAACACGTGAAGGTATTAATTTATTTATTTTATTTTTATTTAGGGAGAAACTGGTGCGGAAGGCAGACGTGGTGATGAAGGTCCCGTTGGTCCCCCTGGGTTGGCTGGTGCTGTTGGTCCTATTGGTCCTACCGGTGACACAGGTGCCCCTGGTGCTGACGGTAAGCCTGGACCCCCTGGTATTTCTGGTCGCACTGGAGACAAGGGCCCGTCAGGTTCCCCAGGACCACAGGGCAGTCCCGGACCCACTGGATTACCCGTGAGTATTGGTGACCTGGTTAATACTTCAATGTGTAATATATTTTCTGACCCTTGCATATCCACGACCATATGTAATTTGGTCAGTAGCAATTAATCGTCCTTCATCACGTCAGGGCCCCCGTGGTCCTTCTGGACCCATCGGACCTACAGGAGAACGCGGAGAACGTGGAGAGGTTGGTCCACAGGGCGTGGAGGGCGGCCCAGGTCTCCGAGGCAAGCCTGGTGCACCAGGGTCACAAGGGGAGAAGGGAGAAACCGGCGCATCAGGTCCAAAGGGTGCCAAGGGACACCGTGGTCTTATTGGTCTTCAGGGTCTTCCTGGACCCCAAGGTCCCAATGGTGACAAAGGTGTTCCTGGTGTTGCTGGTCCACCTGGTCCTAGTGGTGAGCCTGGACAGAAGGGTCCACCTGGTCGTGATGGAGGCATTGGTCCTCAGGGTATTATGGGTCCACCTGGTCCTCGCGGTCCTAGTGGTGAAGAGGGCCGCCATGGTCCTCCTGGAGCATCAGGTCCTTCTGGTCCGCCTGGTCCACCTGGTGAGTCTATGGGCTATGATGCTGCAGCACTGGCAGCACTGCTGGGACAGGGACAGGCTAAGGGCCCAGATCCTCTACAGGGCGACGATTCTGACCTTCCAGCGCGTCTCTTTGGCAAGGAAATTACTGACGATGAACGACGTGAGCTCATCACCAAGGCTTACGAACAACTCAAGACATCTTTCAAGAAGTTCCTGAGACCAGAAGGCACAAAGGATTCTCCAGCCAAGACTTGTCGTGATCTGGCTTATACACACCCAGAGCTGCCAAGCGGTAGGTCGACCACAAGGAAAACTTTAAATTAAGGTGCGATAATATTTAACCGATAGTCTCTATAAAATTAGTAGTTCCTCTCGAAAAAAGGTAAATTTATTATGAAAATAATACATTTCAATGTTGTTTTCCTCACAGGGGAGTACTGGGTGGACCCCAACGAAGGCGACACGAAGGACGCTATTGTAGTACACTGCGACATGGAGCAGAAGTCGACGTGCGTCCTGCCTCAGCCTGACATGACTCAGGAGTTCAACTGGCAGGGAGAATCTCGTGGCCTCATCTGGCTCGGAGATGACATTCAACCAGGATTTGAGGTGAGCTAAGTAGACCGTGAAGCTGCTGGTAGAGAAGATGATCGACGGCACGAGGGTCAGGGGTCATATAGGAAGCACTGGAATGTGATAAAATCATGTAGGAAGGATTTTGAAGGTGGATTATGTTTCATTTGTATAGAGAGATATACCAAAGGAAAGATTCAAGCTTGGCCATCACATGCATAGCGGGATACTGAATTGTAAATAGTATGACCGCGGCGATCACTGAACTATAATCTGATTATAGCAGAAATTGACTACTGGGCATTGCCATAAAACAGCACCACCACCACCAACAACAACAACAGAATAATCAATCCTACAACAATCTGACACACCTTTAATTCAGTGATATGTGTTGTACTTTGTGGGGGGTGCAAGGAAACTGTGTACATAACGTTGTAGCGAAACACGATTCCAGACAAAAGGATGATGACAAAATTAATATATTAGTCGTTTTGGAGAGCACGAAGACACCTTTTTCTAGCCATTTACACTAATCGAACTGGACACGGAGTGAATCTGTCTTAAACATTTAATTTTTGAAAATTGTGATTTTTAGACAATTATGTGATAGAACTCAATGAGTAGAACACCATTTGTTCATAAGGTGTGTTTAGAGAACAAAAAATCATACAGAAATCAGGGCGCGAAACTAACCTGGACTATAAACGTATTCAATTTTTTGCTTTAAAGACCATTTACACATCTACAGTACATGACACTGCTGTCTCGCTGCTTCCAAAAGGTATCTATGTATTTTTTTGTGTAAACATTAGTGATGATTAAAATGTACATTGTTCAATGACATTCCCCCCACACAAGCCACCTGTTAAAAATTATCTAGGTTTCATTACAAACTACTTGAACCTCCGGATGTCAACAGTTCACGTATAAGGCGGACGGCAACCAGATGCGGTTCTTACAGCTGCTATCATCGGAGGCGTCGCAGCAGCTTACTTACCACTGCAAGAACTCCGTCGCTGTGTTTAATGCCAGGAAGAGGAACCTGCGTAAAGCCATGCAGATCATGACCAGCTCAGACACACAACTTAAAGCCATAGGAAATAGGAAGTTTAAATACAGAGTTATAGAAGACGGCTGTAAGGTAAGTCTTTTATACAGTTACAGAAAACCCCCATGAGGCGAGTATTTTATATATGTAACGAAAACGGCTTTGAGGTGTTGTGTCAAAGGAAGCGGTCTTGAGTGATTTTCATTTTTACACAATACGATTTGAAGATAAGTGTGTTAGGCACAGTTATTTTCTAGAGTAAATGAAAGTGTCTATGAGCGAGTGCGTTTGTGCCAAAGAAAATGGCTGTGTGTTTTTTAATTGTTATAGAAATCGAATGGATGATGTGTGTGATTTGCATATTTATAGAAAACGGTGATGAGATGATTTTTTTTATAATTTTTTTAATAAAGTGAAAGAAAAGGGCTGGAAGGTGAGTATGTTATAGTAATCATAAAAAACTACGACTATAAAGTAAGTGGTTTGTATAATTATAGGAAATGGCTGTAATTCGGTGATTGTTTTGGTGTCTCTAAGATTTAGGGGACATGCCCGACCTGTCACTTCTCTGAAGGTTTGGCCAGATAAGGTAAAGTCCCTTCTGTTTCAGTGTTTTTAGTTATAAGTGTTGTGCTGTGTATTTAGCCTTTGAGGAAGATGGTTTAAACTTAAAAAAAAAGGATGGCTTAAATATGTTCAAGAAGGATAAACACAACTTTCCATGTTAATTTGGCACTGTTGAGTCACTCATGCCCATATATTGTTAAGATGTCTGAGGTCACCAAGCTTAATTCACCTTAAGATCCATCACCCCAATGCTTACCTAACCTAACATAACCTGACCTAATCTAATCTACTCTAACCTAACCTAATCTGCCAGGAAGCGTTAGGGTGCTTAATCTTAAGGTGTTAAATAATTTATGGTTAATCTTCAGGTGATCCGATGTTTGTAGTGTCTTGTGATTATCTAGCTCAGTAAGATGGAAGGTGCTGTTTCCATAATTATACCGCATTACAGTAATCAGCATGTGACAAGAGAAGTTCTTACAATGGGAGTTTCTTCTTTCCTGTTTACCATAACCTCTTACATACAACAAGCTCAACGTGATAAACGTTCTACTCTATTTAACTCTCCCAGACAGAATTCGTCTATTTAATTGCCTCCAAATGATAATACTCCGTTCGGAAAGTCCATCATAAACAATTATAGTTTGGTCAATCAACTTCCAACAAAATTTCTGTGGCCCCAAGCAATCCCAGAGGCCACAACCCTCAGCTTACCTACACTACCACATTTGTTATGAACTAACACACCTATTCTCCCTTCCTCCCAACAGAGGGGACACTCCACCTGGGCGTCCACCAAGATCGAGTACCGCACAGACAAGCCTCAGCGATTACCCTTCGTCGACATCGGGCTACGGGATGTGGGCAGAGCAAACCAGTCCTTTAAGATCGAGCTGGGACCTGTGTGCTACTCGTAGGACTCCCGCCAAGCCGTTATAGAACCAGCGACGAGAGCAGTGGCTGGAGGTGCCGTGTGGGGGGTGTGATGAACAATATAGTGACGAGTGTTAAGTGGTGATGATGATGGTGATGATGGTGATGATAATGATCGATGAGGAAATATTCACAGGGGCATGATTGTCGTTATACATGACAGCCTAGAATAAAGAAAAGTGTGTTAAGACTCGTCTCTAAGATCGTCTCCTGCACGCGGCCTCTCCTTCCCTGCTTTCTCTCTCGCTATCTTGTTGATTGTATCATTATAATTTTATATTAGGATAACCGCTCGCCGCTCTCTTTTTTTCCATTCTATATTTCCATATTTTCACATTGCTCTTACCTTCACTTTTTCCTCTTACATCATTAGGTTAGAAAGACATTGACGAATAAATAAAATACAAAGCGCCATCGAAATACAAATATGTGTAAAGTGTTTGATAATAAGAACTGTGGTATAAGGAGAAAAGGACTCTTTAACTGTGTACATTTTGTATAATAATAATAAGGAATAATAATGAGGGTTTTTGGTCGACTCCAGACACACAATCGGGATAAAAAAAAAATATTTGACTATAATTTTTTTTTGTAAATTTACCAAAATAAAAAAGAAGGGTATTTATGTAGCGTTTTCTAATCCTGTTAATGTGACGAGGTGATTATGGCAAATTTATTATCACCACAGCTACAGACACCACCACCACCATCACACAGCTACAGTCACCACCACCACCATCACACAGCTACAGTTACCACCATCACTATCACACAGCTACAATCACCACCACCACCACCATCACACAGCTACAGTTACCACCACCACTATCACACAGCTACAGTCACCACCACCACACAGCTACAGTACCACCATCACACAGCTACAGCACACCACCACCACTCACACAGCCACAGTCACCACCACCACCACCACCATCACACAGCCACAGTCACCACCACATCACACAGCTACACCATCACCACCACCATCAACGCTCCAGTCACCACCACCATCACACAGCCACAGTCACCACCACACCACCATCACACAGCCACAGCCCACCACCACCACCATCACACAGCCACAGTCACCACCACACAGCCACAGTTACCACCACCATCACACAGCCACAGTCACCACCACCACCACTCACACAGCCACAGTCACCACCACCACACAGCCACAGTCACCACCACCACCATCACACAGCCACAGTCACCACCACCATCACACAGCCACAGTCACCACCACCATCACAGCAGTCACCACCACCACCACCATCACACAGCCACAGTCACCACCACCACCATCACACAGCCACAGTCACCACCACCACCACCATCACACAGCCACAGTCACCACCACACCACCACTCACAGCCACAGTCACCACCATACACCACCACCACCACCATCACACAGCCACAGTCACCACCACCACCACCATCACACACAGCCACAGCCCACCATCACACAGCTCACAGTCACCACCACCACCACCACACAGCCACAGTCACCACCACCCCACACAGCTACAGTCACCACCACCATCACACAGCCACAGCTCACCACCACACAGCCACAGTCACCACCCAACTCACATAGCCACAGTCACCACCACCATCACACAGCCACAGTCACCACCACACCACCACAGCCACAGTCACCACCACCCCTCACATAGCACAGTCACCACCACCATCACACAGCCACAGTCACCCCACCACCATCACACAGCCACAGTCACCACCACCCTCACACAGCTACAGTCACCACCACCACCACATCACCACCACACAGCCACAGTTACCACACCACCATCACACAGCCATACACCCCCACCATCACACAGCCAGTCACCACCATCACACAGCCACAGTCACCACCACCACCATCACACAGCCACAGTCACCACCACCACCATCACACAGCCACAGTCACCACCACCACACACAGCCACAGTACCACCATCAGCCACAGTTACCACCACCACCATCACACAGCAACAGTCACCACCACCACCACCATCACAGCCACCACACCACCACACAGCCACAGTTAACACACCACCATCACACCACAGTCACCACCACCACCATCACACAGCCACAGTCACCACCATCACACAGCCACAGTCACCACCCCATCACACAGCCACAGTTACCACCACCACCATCACACACAGCCACAGTCACCACCAACATCACACAGCTCACTACCACCACCACACAGCCACAGTCACCACCATCACACAGCCACAGTCACCACCACCACCATCACACAGCTACAGTCACCACCACCACCATCACACAGCCACAGTCACCACTCATCACACAGCTACAGTCACCACCACCACCACCATCACACAGCCAGTCACCACCACACATAGCCACAGTTACCACCACCATCACACAGCCACAGTCACCACCATCACCACTTCACACAGCCATATCACCACCATCACACAGCCACAGTCACCACCACCACCATCACACAGCCACAGTCACCACCACCCACACAGCTACAGTCACCACCACCATCACACACAGCACAGTCACCACCACCACCATCACACACACAGTCACCACCACCACCATCACATGCCACAGTCACCACCACACACCACCATCACACAGCCACAGTCACCACCACACCCACCATCACACAGCCACAGCACTCACCACACACAGCCACAGCCACCACCATCACACAGCCACAGCTCACCACCACCACCACCATCACACAGCCACAGCCACCACCCATCACACAGCTACAGTCACCACCACCACCATCACACAGCCACAGTCACCCACCACACCATCACACAGCCACAGTCACCACCACCACCACAGGCTACAGTCACCACCACCACACAGCACCACCACCATCACACAGCCACAGTCACCACCCACCATCACAGACAGTCACCACTACACCACCACCACCACCATCACACAGCTACAGTCACCACCACCACCATCACACAGCCACAGTCACCACCACCCCACACAGCTACAGTCACCACCACATCCACAGCTACAGTCACCACCACCACACAGCTACAGTTACCACCACCACCATCACACAGCCACCACACCACCACCACACAGCCACAGTCACCACACAGACAGTCACCACCACCCCATCACACAGCAGTCACCACCACCACCATCACACACAGCCACAGTCACCACCACCACACACAGCCACAGTCACCACCATCACACAGCTACAGTTACCACCCACCACCATCACACAGCCACATACCACCACCACCATCACACAGCCACAGTCACCACCACCACACAGCCACAGTTACCACCACTACAGCTACAGTTACCACCACCACCACATCACACAGCTACAGTTACCACCACCACCACTCACACAGCAACAGTCACCACCACCACCATCACACAGCCAGTTACTACACCACCACTCACACAGCTACAGTCACCACCACACCACCATCACAGCTACAGTCACCACCATCACACAGCAACAGTCACCACCTCACCACCATCACACAGCCCAGTCACCACCACCCACATAGCTACAGCCACACCATCACCACTCTCACAGCCACAGTCACCACCATCACCACTCCATCACACAGCCACAGTCACCCACACACAGCTCCACCACCACATCACACAGCCACAGTCACACCCACCTCACACAGCTACAGTCACCACCACCATCACACAGCTACAGTACCACCACCACCACCATCACACAGCTACAGTCACCACCACAATACAGCCACAGTTACCACCACCATCACACACAGCACCACCACCATCACAAGCCACAGTCACCACCACCACTATCACACAGCCACAGTTACCCACCACCACCAACACACCAGAGCAACACCATCACACAGCCACAGCACCACAACCATCACACAGCCACAGTCACCACCACCATCACAGCCACAGTCACCACCATCACCACACCATCACACAGCCACAGTCACCACCCCACCACCATCACACAGCCAGTCACCACCATCACCACCATCACACAGCTACAGTCACCACCACATACAGCCACAGTCACCACCACCACCATCACACAGCCACAGCTACCACCACCCACCATCACAGAGCCACAGTCACCACCCACCACCATCACACAGCCACAGTTACACCACCACCACTACACACACAGCCACACCACCACCATCACACAGCACTACACACCAAACACCACATACACAGCTACAGCCACCACCACCATCACACAGCCTCACTCACCACCATCACACAGCCACAGTTACCACCACCACCATCACACAGCTACAGTCACCACTCACCACCATCACACAGCTACAGTTACCACCACCACCATCACACAGCCACAGTCACCACCACACACACAGCACAGTCACCACTACATCACACAGCTACAGTTACCACCACACCACCATCACACAAGAACAGTTACCACCACCACCATCACACAGCTACAGTCACCACCACCATCACACAGCCACAGTTACCACCACCACCATCACACAGCTAGTCACCACCACCATCACACAGCCAAGTAGCCAAACCACACCATCACACAGCCACAGTTACCACTCACCATCACACAGCCACAGTCACCACTCATCACACAGCCACAGTCACCACCACACACACAGTCACACACCACACCATCACACAGCTACAGATAGCCACACACCACCATCACACAGCCACAGTCACCACCACCACCATCACACAGCCACAGTTACCACCATCACCACCATCACACAGCCACAGTCACCACCATCATACAGCCACATACCACCACCACCATCACACAGCCAGTCACCACCATCACCACCATCACACCACAGTCACCACCACCACTATCACACAGCTACAGCCCACCCACACCATCACACAGCCTACAGTCACCACCCACATACAGCTACAGTTACCACCACCATCACACAGCAACAGTCACCACCATCACCACTCTCACACAGCCACAGCCACACCATCCATCACCACCCATCACACAGCCACAGTCACCACCACAGCACACACAGCCACAGTCACCACCACCACCATCACACAGCCACAGTCACCACCACCCCTCACACAGCCACAGTCACCACCACCATCACACAGCCACAGCCACCACACCATCACCACCACTCACACAGCCACAGTCACCACCACCACCATCACACGCCACAGTCACCACCATCACCACCACATCACACAGCCACAGTCACCACCACACCTGCGCCAAGCTACCACCACCATCACACAGCTACAGTCACTACCACCACCACTATCACACAGCTACAGCCACCACCAACACAGCCACAGTCACCACCACCACCATCACACAGCTACAGTCACCACCACCTCACACATAGCTACAGTCACCACCACCATCACACAGCTACAGTCACCACCACCTCACACAGCCACAGTCACCACCACCCCACATAGCCACAGTCACCACCACCATCACACAGCCACAGCCACCACCACTCACACAGCGTACAGTCACCACCACCCTCACATAGCTACAGCCACCACCACCATCACACAGCCACAGTCACCACCACCACCATCACACAGCTACAGTCACCACCCACCCCACACAGCCACAGTCACC